GTCGGGGGGCGGGGTGGGGGCTGAGTGTGTGTGTACCGAGAAGCCACAGTCAAACCCCCTATTCAGCATGACAAAACAAAAGTATCGGGAACCACACTGAGGCGGGAGAAACTTTGCAAAGCAGGCTGATGCCAAGTTTAGTGGTGCTGCTTCCACATTACAAGTGTCAGCACTTGTACACCACAACGCGACACCAATATGAACTAATCCAGTGTGCCTGTAAACTGCTGCTGAGTTTTTCTCTCGAATCACCTTGCATCTGGTCATTCCCTATCGTACCCGCGCGACTGTATGGGTATTCTCCACGTCTCCACTTTAAAACAATTACTAGATTTATTTCAACAAACGTCGTAGCCAACTTGGTCAAACATTATAACAATTTAAAGAAAATACTAAATATTGTACATCAATGAGACGTGTCTGGTGAATTATTATTTATTTAATATTTTAATGAAGTTAACATGCGTTTTAAATGTCCAACAGTTGGCACCAACACGTCCCTGCACACGAACAAAACACCATCAGTGTCCGTTTGGTGACGGTCTCGGCTCGGTCGCCGTCGCCCTTTAATCGTAATAAAAATTTTGTTGTTAGATCGAATGGATTTCAGACAAGTTAAACTAACTTGCGTGGCATATTTTGAGGTGTGATTACCATTCTTCGTGTAACCCGGGAACTGTGCGCCGCGAGTTTTTTGTTCGGAATCACGACGAAGGTTTAGTCCACGGAGCTGAGCACTGGAGGTTATGCACTCGGCTCCTTCTATTCTTCTCGTTTCTTCCAACCGGATAGAGTGCCATCATCAACCGACGAGGAACGGTCAGTGTTGAAATTGTTTCTAACCTCTGTGTACAAACCCCGACATAGCGCTCCTTTGCTTCAAAGAAAGAACTTTGCCGTTTCGTCGTGAGCGTGAGAGTTGACAGTCGAACAGTCGAATCATTGCTCTACCTTTGTATGGGCACCAACACTCAATAGAAACGCGTAATTTTTTATCCTGATTCACGTGAGGTTTGTGTGTATTTTCGTTTCTCTAGTTGGGGTTATGTTTCTCCGGTCGCTTCGGTCCACATGCGCCGTTTGGGTCGTAAGGGAAGTTGGCGAATGCTCGGCTAATAATGATGGACCCCCTTCGTGGAAG